AGAGAGAGAGAGAGAGAGAGAGAGAGAGAGAGAGAGAGAGAGAGAGACGACAAATTGGAAACAGTGAGGGAGTTTTAACGATGCAGCATGCATGACAAGTTCCAGCTTCTTTCTGACACTTCTATGGAAGCCTGCATGGCCAAACCTGTTTAATGTCTCAGCTTTGGAATATGCAGTATGAGACTCACTGTACGCTGTGCTGGATCGTCTAGCTCAGTCGCTTGTATCCAAGACACTGATGACAATATTGGGTCGCTAATACTAAAGAAGCAAAACTGAGTGCCACTGTCTTTGTGTTCAGTGGTTTGATCCTCTGCAGGATGCAGTCCACAAAGGAAGCCTAAGGGGCTAAACCTGCTCTTGTCTCTAAATAAGAGAGGTATATAGCATCCCAAAGAGTAAAATTGATGCTGTGTTTAGTTGTCAACTTGTAAAGACAAGTTTCAAAGTTTGTCACTTTGAAATTTCTCTCAAATACATTACAAAGTATAAATTATTGCTATGTATGCAACCATGAGGACACACATACACACACAGATACCGTGAGTGAATGTAGCAGGAGCAGTACAACAAAAACATGACAAATATGATCTGAAAAATCTTCCAAAGACCAGTATTTGTAAGAAAGACTTGCAGTTGCCAGATTTATGAATGACTTGGCTTTGCGAGTGTCACTTTGTTCTCACTGATTTCTGACTGTGCAAAAGGCTCTGAGTGCATCTTTGCAGTGGTCCTTAAAGTTTTCATCAGGCATATTCTGCATTTTGTGCTGCTTTTGGTGTCTCCTCTCATAGTGGTTTGTCATTCTGATAAGTTCATTGCTGGTTTCCAGGCACTTAGCCTTTGTTTGAAGAGAACAAGAGTTATCATCGGCTTCAGTGACGGGGTGTAATAGTTCTTTGAGTGTTGTGTTTGAGGCACGTAATGATCCTGTCCCTCAAATAATCTTAATATTGTAGCAGTAACCCATACTATTTACACTGAGACTAAGAAACATCAGTAGAAAAATATTGCTGTTGGTAATATGTTTGTTGTCGGCAAGCATGCTGAATTTCCATGGAGCGACTTGTTGCTTATGTTGCCTGCGGGGACAGGGCAGACTAACATATATTGGGGGATGTGATGTGTATGTTTCCATTTCTTTGATTCTATTTTCCAATAGTAATGTACTTCTACTCTGTCCTACCTTAAGATTTGTCTGAATGCGTTTGTACATACAGTATGTGCTCATGTATTCACTCGGTCCCTCAGAGCGTTTGAGGTCCTGGCTGGGCAACAGAGATGGACAGAACAGGACAAGAACAACAAAGAGGCAGAGCCTTGGCAGACACAGAGAGGCTGTCACAGCCTGTGGAGAGAAAAAGATCATGAGAGGAAAATGTGATTAGAAAAAGA